TCTGAAAGTCTTTTTAATAATATAGTATTATTATGACGATTGCTTATACACATTTCGATTAAACCATATCTTAAATATTAGAAAGGGTAGACAGCACACTACATTATAGCCTATCAATTAATATATTAGCATTTGTTTTGGTTCAATTTTCGTACAATTCGTCACATCACTGATGATTTATATTTAAATGTAATTTGTACTTTAAATAAATAATTGTATTGAACTTTTTAAGAATCTATAAATATAATCTATAATCTTAAATACGAATACCTATTTTATTTTTGAATACATGGATATTTTGAATATTAATATGATACTTATCTCAAAACATTTATTTAAGTTTATAATTTTTATTAATTTTAGGAGCTTAATTAAGAATATGGATACACCCAAAAAAGATGATACTGCATTAAAACAGGTTAAGACATGTAAAACCAATATAACATCTAAAGATGATAAAAAGTCAAAAGTCATTAAAACATCTAAAAAAAGTGGTACATCTATAGATGGCGAGCCTACTAAAAAAAAGCGGAAGTTAGATACAAATGGAAATGATGTTTTGAAATTGATATTATCTAGAGAGGGCAAAACTAATAATTTTAAATCACAATTCAAGTCTACATTAAAATACAATAATGAAATTGCTTCTACCAATGCTGAGGAGATACCCATGTTAATTGATTGTGATGAATTTACTGAATCAGTTAAAAATCTAAAACCAAAGATCTGGGTCATCGATCCCAAGAAAATGATGGATAAAAAGAATTACATTAGATGGATGAAAATGATTTCTTCTGATAATAAATCCAAACATTCAACAAATCACCTGAAAAAGTTAGCAGTTGGTAAACCTCTACAACCTAAACCATCTTCAAATAGTATCAAAGTAAATGGAATTAAACACCCTATAAATGTCAAAAATCATGTAAGAGGTAAATTAACTGAAATTGAAAATTTATGTAAAAAGTATCAATATTTATAGTATACAGTAGCGAGTAACAAATAGTGATGGTCCTAAATTACTAAAAACCAAATAATTCATGGTTAAATGGTAAACTTATTAACCAAATTATTTAAATTTACGACTACTTGGGCTACCAACTATCTAATCATTCAGTTGACTGTTTTTCTAAAAATAATGTGAAAAATGAAAATAAGCTATAACACTTTCATTATAACTAACTTTTTTTTTCTGTAAATGAGATTCACACTTTTTTCCTGTAAATTGTTTAGCTAAAGCTTTTTTTGGAAATCATGAAGGATATGAATCAAAATTCAAATGAAGAGTTACCTATTTAATTTTTTGTACTAAGAATATTAGGTCCATAATATTGGTTTAGAAGATTTGGAACTATAATGATATAAAAAGTAGGCAGGTATAATAATTAATATTAATTTACTATCATTTGATAATTTGTAAAAACTGTATAATATGAATAATCAGTTTTAGATTACCTATACATAATATACATTTCATACTTTTGTAAAACCATACTTGTGGAATATTATTCTTAATATATACATTTTAATTACTCAGAAACTACTAGTTTGAATTTTAGATGAGAGGCATATAAGTTTAAAAAAATCATAAAAATTTTAATATTACAATAATATTTTTGTTGTTATTTTTTTTTAGTTCTACGCGATAGTATATAACAACTCTACAAGAAAAATGTGACAACGGTGAAATACTGTTCCCATAGCTGAAAAGTAATAATATATTTGTTAAATTAATATACTGCTGTTATATAATAGTATAATTAATGTCTTTTTTCTTCTTTCAGCAACTTGACTGGTATGCCTGTCATATAAATGACTGTGATCGACTGCTAAGCAAATATTATAATTTCAATGTTAAATTTCAATTTATATTAAAAAGTTTTTCATGGATTTATTTTTATTTAAAAAAAAATCAGGCACGGCACTAGAATTTTTTTCCAGGGGGGGCAGAGTGGGGCAAATATTTTTTTTACATGGGCTTAAATTGTTTCAACAAATTCTGAGGTTATTTAAATGAAATATAAATATTTTCGTATCATATGACATAATATAGCTATTAGCTATATAGTACATACGTTTTATATTGTATGCTCTAAACGTCTAAACATATAATATTTACAAACTTTTGAATAGTTAAAAATGTTTTAAGAATAATATCAAATATTTTTTTGTACCTTATGTAATATGTAAGAAAATGTTTATTCACAGACCTAAGACCTTTAACAACTATATTCATAATGATAACATGATATACAAAAATAATAATTTCTTTATGAGCTAAATATTGATTTTTTATACAATATCTGTTTATGCACCATACAGTAAATGATTGAAAATCTTATAATATTGAAAAAGTTAACAAAAATGTATACAATTGCACTTATATCAGTAGGAATACAAATTGTTTTAAATAAAAACTTTTGATTACCTACCTTATATTTAACTAGTACATTTTAAATTTTTAATTCAATACATTTTTTAATTGGTATTTGCATAGTAGTGTATGTATTGACTATTGAAGTACCTACTTTATATTTTTTGTTAAATTTTGGAGGTTAAAATAGTTCATATATATACATTAAAACATAGATACTTTAAGAAATCCTTTTTTATTAATTATCAAGTAATATGTGAACTAATTACCATGACAAATAAGATTATACAAATAACAAAATAAGAAAATTGAATAAATTATTTAATTATTTTAAATAAGAAATTTGTCATGCTAATTACTAAACTAATATAAGTAGGTAGGTACGAATACCAACTCCTTACACAATAGTATTGTGTTAATCAAACATAAACATATTTAAAATAATAAGTCAATTAAAAATATTTTTAACTGTATACAACAAACATTAATTATATCGTACATATTTTTCAGTGGGGGGGGGGGGCTGGCGAGGGGGCTGATCTGTTTTCTGGGGGGGCTAGAGCCCCACCTTGCCCCCCCCTTGGCGCCGTGCCTGAAAAAAATTGGATTATATATTTATATATTATATTGATTATTATTGATTATTTAGTTTGTATAATTAATATTACGATTCATTACTATTATATGTTTGATCTAATAAGTAATACTACTACACAGTTTTTAGGATTTGTATGTTCTTTTTTTTTATCTACAATTGTGATTTTTTGTTTTTTCCAGAGAGAGGAAGCACCTAAATAAATTAATTTTTGGTATTTATAAATTATATATGTTTCTTGATATACCCTCTATATTTGTTAGTAAAGAAAAAATCATTCTGTGGATAGGGAGTAGAGAATGCCTTTGGACTGATTCTATTATGGTAGGTTCAAAATATCTAGGAAACTCGAAGAAAAAGCAAGAGAAAAAAATATCTCAAAGCAAGTAAGACATTATTAGGTACCTACTACCTTTTTGAAAAGGTAATAATATACAAATATTTCATATCCTTTAAAATAAACAATGCATTTTGTTTTATTAAATATTATTAATCAAAGCATACATTGTCAATAGAAATTATATGCAACACATCTTTGAACAATTTGTTAGTTGATTTAAGAAAACACTATACATTCAAATACATTTTAACCAGGAAATTGTATACAGTTGGACTGGAAAATTTGTTCAGCTTCTTAAAGGGCATGACAGGAAGTGATTCTTAAATAAAAAGCAATTTAAATGAATGTTATTATTATGTAGGTAATATGTAATTAATTTGTTATACATTATAATTTATAGCCTAAGATGGTACATAATATTAGGCGAGCATTCCAATATAATATTTACGAAAATACAAATTCACACAATGTAGTATGGAAGACAAATTGTTGGACGAAAATGAATGTTCAACCGCCCAAATATCATTATCATCTTTCAATAATGATTCTTCCATTCATACTAACAACGAAGCTAACATTGAAGGTAATGTAATTACCGTTCCAGAATCTGATGTTCAGCTACTAAAACAATTTCACTTTCCCTTTATTATAATACATAGGTACTTGCTTTTAATTTTCATTACTTGTACATGGTTGATGTATTGTTTTAGATTGATACTGAAGATTGTGAGAAACCAGTATTTGATGACATTGAAGAAGTTACACGTTGCTGGTTATGTTGCTAATCGTTATTCAAATAAATATCCTCATTTATCTCAAACAAATTGTAATGAAACAAAAAGCTGGACAATTATTTTTAATTAAATAATTTAAACAATTAATCACAAAACAACAAAAAGGAACAGGCGCACTGCAAAAGGAAATTTCCAAATTAATACCTACTCAATTATCATTATGCATTTGTCATACATTAAAATATAATATGTATATATGAGCTTAAGACACTTTAACAAAACTAGCAAGACTTGGTAGCAAACGAGATAAATCAACAACGAATCAGAAGCTAAGAACTACGCAATTGACGAGGAAAGGGGTCGGAGTGGTATGCGTATCACAAAGTTGTGATCATTCGTCATTCATAGCTACCACCATAGACAAGTATACCTAATGTTAAGTGCAAAAATTAAAAATGTGGCTCGATCGTTTAGGTTGAACAAATTAAAATTTTGTTGTTACAAACCTGCACAAATGATTTAACAATCGTTGACGCAGATTTGGGGTGTTTAAGTTAAATATTTAAAAAATCGGGTGCTGGAGTAACGTTACGCTGGCACCCGCTTTCTTTATAATGTATTTTGCGGTATTTAGGAGGTTGTACAAATTAAAATTTTGTGGTTACAAACCTGCACAAATGATTTAACAATCGTTGACGCAAATTTCTATTGAAATTTCTAATATGCGGGTGCCAGCGTAACGGACCTCTAAAAAATATAATTTAAATAGTAGATTATAGATATAATTTAAGTATAGCTTATTTTTTTTATTTGAAAATAGTTAGTATAAATTATAAATAAAACATTCTTACCAAATAGGTATTCAAAATAACAAAAATATTTAAAACAATACACGTGTCATCATAATTTACAATTTGTTCATATTACTAATTAACAATGAGTACTACTGTAAGCTGATTAATGATAATGATGTGGTCTATCGACAACTACTCCACCATAAATTTGTACTCCATTTCTTGACAATCTTTCCAAGGTCCAAGTATTAGTGTTATGGTTGTAAATTTCAAAAGTATCAAAAATAGATCCTATTTCTCCGCCAAAAACATACAATAAACCATCTAATACAGCTACTCCTATAAGATAATGTAATTTAATTATATTTATTTCTACAAAGGTCGTCCTAAAAAATATAATTATCATAGTCACTACTCACCAGGGGAAAATCGGCATAAATTCATATCAGCTATAGAAGACCAAACTCCATCACTTGGTCTATAAACCTCAACACTTTTAAGATAGCTATATCTATTATTGCCACCAATTGCGTACATAAGTCCATCCAAAACCCCTATACCAACACCTTCACGACACTCAGACATTTCTGCAACCGGAGTCCATATGTCAAGTGTGGGATCATAATATTCCACAGATTTAAAACTTTCACCATTTGCATAACCACCAACCTACACAATTTAATTAAATAAAATGTAAAATAAATAAATAAATAATAATATGATATATTTATTCACAGCGTATAGACGATTATTGAGTACACCAACGCCCAATTGAAGTCTCTCAATTGTCATACTAGACACTATTTTCCATTTTCGGGTAATGACATCAAAAACCTCTACACTTTTTAAAGCACTGTTGCCGTTATATCCGCCAACCTAGAATTACAAATAATATACATTTTTAATATAAAATAAGTAAAATATTTATTTAACTTACTGCATAGATACAATCATCCAATACGCCAACTCCTAATCGTTCTCGACCAACTATCATGTCGGCCATTGGAACCCAAGATGGAGATTTTAGAGATACATCAAGCATACTAACAGATTGTGAACATGAATTATTCACACCCCCCACAGCAAACACAAATTGATCATTTATCACACCAAAACCAGCATACTTCCGACATTCATTTATTCCTGGTGCATTCTCTCTTAGCTTGGTTGCTGGGTCATACCATTCAGTATAACACTTTGACGATGTATTAGACTTACTGAACATTAGAAGAACCTAATAGAATTAAATCGACAAAATCATTGTGAAGATAAATTTATCAAAACGGAATGATACTTTTTTTGAATCACCAAACTGCCTAGGTTTACACCGAATTGTTTGCGGAATGGTGGTATGCTGAACTGATTTTTGATGATTAAAACGTAAGGCTTCAACTAAATAATTGTTACCTAAAAAAATTATAATAATAACTCATTAAATACATAAATTTATAATTATGGCAAATTCAAGTAAATAACATACATTTAAGACTAGTGTTTAGAAGAGGTTCTTCATATATATTAAACAATATATCAGGCTTTAGTAATGGCAAACGTACATGTTCCATTAGTTTTGGCAAAAAATCAATTCTATGATCTGAATCATGTTTTGCCCATTTGATAACACATTCAAATACCTACAATAAAAAATATTTAAAACTAGATTAAAATATAATAATAGTTTGTTCAACCATTCAATAGTGTATAATTATCACAGGATCCCAAAAATATAATAGATCTTTAAGATTATGTGTTCCTACTGTTTATATTAAGCATAGGAATATTAATTAATAATTCTTATATTTTTATGGTATTAAATAATATATATTATTTGTTATTTTTGAATACACATAAATCACAATATAGACATAATGCAGTAGAAGGTTTATGTGCTGCATTTGCGAAATTGTTTGGGCCTACTGACTAATCAATGTGGTACGTGGAGGTGAAAGTTATAGAAAATTAATTACAGTCGGAGCCGACCACAAAACTTCTTTATCATCAAGGAGATACAAATATACAATTGATTTGAACTAATTTTAAAAAACGTTTTAATTATTATAGAGTTATTTAATATTTATAGACATTTAAAATAAGACATGGTTTTGCTCGTGTTTTTGTTTATTTTCAATAAGTCAACAAAATTATTTTCTATGGTAATCAAGCTTTATTGATTTTAGTTATTTGGTTTACAAATATTATTTGTAGGAAGTTAAAATTTTAAAGTATATTGTTATATTGTATGCACACAATGATCTTTTCATATGCACCTTTTTTAGAAAAATAATTAAAACTTCTCCAGAAATACAGTATTACTAATGTCTAATAGTAAAATAAATTAGTTTATCAACCATACCATAAAATATACTTGGTAATATTATTAAACCTTAGAGCTCAGAATCCTTTTCGTTTACAATGATTTTATATCATTGAATTCAAATATAACACATTTGATACAGTAATCCCTGTAAAGTCTAGACATCAACTGTACTGTATACTTGCCCACCTTTATATGTTGATTTTCCATACATAATATTAAAAATACAATTTGTAGTTTGCTTACTTTTTCTTCAAATGGAACAGCAAGGTCATTAGAGGAAATAAGCTTCACCAAATCATCAGAAGATAAGGATAGAAAATCTTCGCCTTCAGCTACTTCTCTGGAAATAATAATCATTATTTTTAAAAAAAATTACCTACTTATTCTTGGTATAGAGAATTGAAAAATGTAAATCATACAAAAAATGTTGTTTAATATATGCTTCAGAACTTGACAACAAATCAGTACAGTTATGTAAGTCAGCAAACGCTCTGATTATAAGACAATTTGATGGATTCAGTTGTTTTTGTAAGAACTCAGCACATACACCATTTACATAATCTAACTGCAATACATCTGCAGCTGGTAATAACACCTTAGAAATTAAAAAAAAGATTCACATAAAATGATATTATGTTGTTTGAAGTCTATATAAAATTAAATCTTTAATTCTAGGTACCTGTACATTTTCTTTTGTGACCATAATTTCTCCAGTATAAATATAATCTACTAATAGCTGTAAAATTGTGGAATCTAATTCTCTTATATTGATAAGGTCTTTATTGCTTTCGTCAAAATTACTAAACATAGCACGGAAATACGGACTAGCTGCTATTAGTACATTTTTATGTCCAATTACAATTTTACCATCATCTGCTTCAAATCTAACATCGCATAAAAATTCATTTCTAAAAACAAAAATGTAAGTGATATTTATTTTGAATAAAGGTAAAATCACTGTAAACATACTTGCGTAGAGATTGTAAATTTTCCAGTATTCTTACAGAATGAGAGTCATTTCTAAAACTTGTTGGTTCACATTCATTTGATTTCAGAATTTGCTTTAGATTATTTTCACAAGATGAAGCCTGAATGGTATCCATTTCTTTTACTGACGTGCCTAACAAGTTTAAATATATTTTAAAAATTGTGATTAATTTTAATTACCATCATTGTGTTAAAACTTAATACTAAATTTAGGTGCTTCAGAGTTTAGACAGGGTAAAAAACAACATAATGCTGATGTTAAGAAATTATTAAATTAATGGTTAGATTTATTAAAATATTAATGAATTAAAATAAGTATATTGAATAGGTACGAGACCTTTTATCTTACTTACTGCAGTTGAATTCATATCAATGAGTGAGTTCTAGACAAAGGTATGGTATTGAAATATGGGCTAATATACAAAATACCTAATCGATGTTGGTAGGGACAGCTGGGATAAGATAAAGTCAGAAGTTGTGAGGTAAGAATGTAAGATGGGAATTGTATGTAAGTCGTAATAAGTTGATTATATCTAAATTTATCCAAGGTAGGTACATGTACTGTATGTTGAGTATATTGTATTTTTTTGTTTTTATTTAATAATAATATATTATAATATTACGAAAGTTGGTTATACTAATTACGCCTGAAGACTAGACAGTAGACACTAGAATACAATATCCTATAGCATTGACTAAAGAATAATATTATGAATTTCTCTTTCACGTTGTCAACTTTTTATAATTCCTGCTCTACCTACCTGTTTTCCTAGAAAGTCAAAGTTGCCCCAGACTACATACCAGTTTAAGTTCTACTTTCTGGGTACACAGGTATAGCAGGAATTTTAAAAAGCTGGTCACAAATTCACAGGAATTGAGCACTATACTTATCAATGCAATAAAAAATTTACAAAATTCAGATTGGGGAGGAAGTAATGGTTAAATACAATTTGGTTCAGTCTACAATTTTCTTCACAACCATATCGAACTTCATAAATCCATTAGGTGCTTAAACACAAATGATTTATTGTTTTTGGAGACATGTAAAAGTAAGTTTCTAAAGAGACATACAGGACACATTTGTATAGAGTACATTTTTATACGTCGACATCTGCATTGGTACGACCCAAGCAGTTACTTTTTGTAGATTATATACGACGGTATATAGCATACGACACGCGTACCTACCCGCAAACTTAAAATATAATATAATTAATATAATTTGCAAATGTCTCTGATTTAGACAAATTTCGTCAAAATTCTTACCTATAGTCGCGTTCCGGTCGGTACGTGGTATGTAGCTGTGTCGGCGTAGGGCGTAGGAGCAGAGGTCGATCGAGGATTTGGCGGACGGCGGTGCGAAACGCGAGTATACGGCAATCGACAACTGACAAGTGACAGACACACAGAGTTGAACTGCGAATTGAGTAACTGACAAGACGTGAGTACGTGACAACAGTGACCACGCGACTTCGAATGACGACGACGAAACAAAAAGCGGTGCCAGTTTGTGCGTGTGATCCTACTGCTTTGTCGAGTTTAACGGCGTGCGATGTACAGTAATAGACAATAGTTGTTATTGAAAATTTGAATGATAAAATAAAAAACAGGAATATATTATCAATTAGACTACACCAATATCAATTGGTATAAAATGAATAATATGATTTACGGATAGAAAACGCGTATTATACTGTGATTATACTCAATATTTTAATTAATACACTGTAATTTATTTATAAACGTAAGTGGGGATTTCTGGCGTTCTTCGAAAATTATTATTTTCCGATGACCATCGTTCGGTACTTGCGCATTGAGAATTTGTGAGTGATTGTGAGTGCGTGCGCGCGAGTTGCGTACTTGCGTGTTGCGAACATAAACCCTTGACGAAATAATCATGCTATTTCATCTGCTGTATAGCCGTATAGGTAGTAGGTACAAGTGTACACTGTACAACTGTATACACGTTTTCTCACCCGTTTAGGTTGATTAATAATTTTTGTACCTAATGGCTAATTGTACGGATATATTGTTATATTTTTTTTAGTAATAATAATATTATTATAGTGTTATCAGTTGTTATTACAGGATGCATTAAATATGAAAGATCAAAGAATAATAGACACAACCGAATTTTTGGATCTTCTAGGTAGTACAACTACCTAATTTTTAATTTTTAATTAAAACAATTTTTTTATGCTTATCAAAAACAACAACAAACAACTGATAAAGAAACTAATATTGTGATTTGTGATCAACATCCAATAACGTCCGAAATTGTTCATAAAATTGTTCTCGTGTTTACAAAGCGGTTACAACTTACAATCCAAATCCAAATCCAAATCGATATTAAGGTGAGTTAAACCACAGAATAGATTACTCTATTCTAAAGATTGGTCTTGCCCTGTCTTAGGTATTTAAATTTAGTGTTAAGTTTGAACACAATAATGATACCTATTAAAACGAATTACAATTTTTAAAGTTTATATTTCAAAGGTGTTAGGTAGATCTGTGAAAGAAATGGATACCATTCAGGTTTCATCTTGTGAAAATAATCTAAAGCAATTTCTAAAATCAAATGATTGTGAACCAAGACATTTTAGAAATGACTCTCACTCTGTGAGAATACTAGAAGATTTACAATCTCTACGTCAGTACGTTTACAGCCATTTCGCCTTTATTCAAAATAA